TTTCTTTCTTTCTTTCTTTCTTTCTTTCTTTTTCTTCCTTCCTTCCCAAATGGGGTTAAGTGACTTGCCCAGGGTTACATAGCTAGTAGGTGTCTGAGGCCAGATTTGAACTCAGGTACCCCTGACTCCAGGGCCAGTGCTTCATCCACTACACCACCTAGCTGCCCCTGTTTTCTTTTTCTTTTCTTTTTTTTTCTTCTTAATTTTCAAATCTCATTTTTTTCAACACTTTTAAATAAACTTATTTGGGGGCAGCTAGGTAGCGCAGTGGATAGAGCACCATCCCTGGAGTCAGGAGGACCTGAGTTTAAATCTGGTCTCAGACACATAACACTTACTGGCTGTGTGACTCTGGGCAAGTCACTTAACCCCATTGCCTAGACCAAAAAAAAAAAAAAAGAAATGAACTAATTTGGAGAAAAAGAGGTGAGATATAAGGACACAACACAAAAGTTTGATGGCAAGCAAATTATTTCACAAAAAGCCAATGAAAAGTGCCTCTTTAGAGCTCATTTAATGTTAGGTCTAGAAGGGACTTTTGAAGTTAATTTGTCCAAAGACACTATATCATAGATGAGGAACCTGAGATCCTTATTGGGCAAGTGATTTTTCCCTAGTTAATAAATAAGTACATAGCTACAAAACGGCAGAGGCAAGACTCAAGGCCATGTCTTTTGAGCGCAAGTTCAAGGCTTTTCCCACTACATAAAACTCTCACGTAATTCAGTTACATTAATGGAGCACTTTATGATTTCCAAGAACTTTCACATATCTTGTGTCATTCAAAAAATAAACATGAATGTTATTTGCAGAATCTCAGTGTTAAAAGGTACCACAGAGGTCATCTAATCTGACTAATACCTGGATGTGAATGTCTTCAAAAATATGGTCATCCTGGCTTCATTTGGAGAATTTCAGTGATGGAGAACAATGTACTACATGAATAAGCCCAATCCATTTTGGGGGCTGATTTTGAATATATAAAGTTTAGATAAGCCTTCTTAACCCTTAATCCTAATTAATGCTTATTTTTCAAAACAAAGTTTAGGTATTATATATTTAGACATACTTTGAAAACTATTTTGCTGCCTTAAATTGAAAATCAGTGAAATTAAATGATGTCTAAAAAGAAATATTGAAGCTAATTCTCTAGTCAATGTATTAGAAATATGAGTGTCAGAAATCTACATAGATAAGACCTCTTAAGAATTACAAAGGAGGCAGAGAACTTGATTTTTCCATCCAAAGGGAATTGTCAAAATATCATTTTCTATTTTAATGACTTTGTGGAGGGTGTTGTAATGCTCTGTTGAGCTGAAGTAGGAGATACATAAATACACATAAAATGTCTATATGCGTATTTCATATTTGGGAAAACATTTTCTAAATGTATATTTTAGTTAGAAAACTTTAGTTCCATTTAATGAGGATTATTTTGGCTCCATTATATTTGGCATTCATGGTGTTGCTGTGAAAAGAATAGTGGATTTGAAGTCATAGAACTTAGGCTTGAACCCTGGCTTTGCCACTTACTATCTGTGTGACCTTTTGCAAGTCCCACCACATCTCTGTCCCTCGGTTTCTTCATTTATAAAATAAGAGGATTGGATCATATGGATTCTGAATTTTGATTTGTTTTGTTTTCTAGCACTGGATGTATGATCCTATTGTCAAAACTTTAATTCACCCAGGCAAAAATGCAGGAATAATTTGTTTTTCTCTATTTTGTAGCGGAACTTTCTGGACTACTCTTTATAGGGGATGCCATTCTTCAGGTATGTAAACATAGTAGGTATATATTTTTGGCACAGTTTACCCTTAAAAGAAAAATACAAACTCACTTTACAAGGTGTGAAGCAAGACAATTTTTTTTTTCCATTGCAGATTAATGGAATTAATGTGAGAAAATGCAGACATGAAGAAGTGGTAAGCTTGCTTTTATTTTTCTTAATGAAGGAACATTTGTGTAAAAAGGTGTTTGATGCATTACTGAAGCAATTTCTTTATGTTCAGAAGAGATGTGGCATTTGTCTAATGTCTTGGCCAAACCTACATTCTGCAAGGATGTTTTTCATAATTTTTTTTTCTGCCCTGATCTAAATTGGTGTACTCTCAAATGAAGTATATGGCTAGTTGTTTTTTTTTTTTTGTTTTGTTTTTTTGTTTTTTAGGCAATTGGGGTTGTGACTTGCCTTGGGTCACACAACTAGTAAGTGTCAAGTGTTTGGTCTGAGGCCAGATTTGAACTCAGGTCTTCCTGACGTCAGGGCCTGTGCTCTATCTACTGGGCCATCCAACTGCCCCTATGGCTAGTTTTTAAAATTAAATCTTGGAGTTGTTTATTGTGAACATTTGTTTCATTTTTCTTATGTTCATCAACCATTATTTACCTCTTGCTGAATGAGAGCTATTCTTTACCAGCTGATATTTATGCAGTGATCAAAAAGCTACTGATGATGTCACTAACATTTGAGGTTTTGGGGGTTTTGTTTTGTTTGTTTGTATCATAGGGTGGACACAGTTCTTGCTGTTGAAACTTTATAAACAAAATGAGACAAATAGACAAATATTTTAAATATAAGTCTTCTCTATCTCACGCTCTCTCTATATGTTTATATGAATGCACCACCACACCTCATAATCATGACATTCTCATAGTCATTACTAGGGGAAAGTGAAATGCAGTAAGCAACTCTGGAAGCCAAACATTTCTGCCCCCAGAGTTTCTAATAAGTTTAATTTGGTATTAGATGAGGACACAGAGACAGGATCATTAGGATCTATCCATCTTGTCTGGTCATGTAGGTGAGAGAGGCAGAAGCATGGCTGGAATGGTATAGAAGATGTAGTCACAGCTTAGGTTGTCCAAGGTGGGAGCTATATAATGGCCAGGGTCAGCACCTGGACAAATGATCTCAGGTCATACCATCCTAGATTTTTCCACCTGCGAAATTCAACATCACAAGCATTTAGGAATTGTGGGTAAAACTGCTCAGCTGCAAGAATTAATTCTCACATCTTTGTATTCCCGTGGTAATCAATATAAGAATGTAAAAAAAAGGAGCTTATATGCAATTACATATAATATTATGTATTATATATGTTAACATACATTATATGTTATTACCTATTAACAAATTGATGTTCTATATAAAATACATGTCTGTAACCCTTCTCTCAGAGATTTGAGTGAAAAGAAGGGCCCTGGTAGAATTTAGGGATTTTCTTCTTTGATCTTGGTTCACATAAAAATCAGGAAATAGGCCTGGTACTCTTTGTTTTTTGAGACAAGCTCCCTATTTCATTATGTTACCTTCCTGTACTCTGCTAACAGTAGCATTGTGATTCCTTCTGAAGTTCTCTTTTACCCAAAAGGCTCAATCATGGAATTCTCCTTAACCAGTTCCCCTCCCTCACAAACACTTTGGTGGTGCAAAATTTGCTCTGTCTTTGGGTAGTGGTGTTTTGTTTTGTTTTGTTTTCTCTTCCTAAGGAAAAAAAAATGCCTTGAGTTCTTTGTCAGGAGATATGGTTATCCCCTGAGTCTATGTAGGGATATGCTGGAGTTTGCCTCCTGATTGATAAATTTTCAGCGTAAGCATTTACACCTTGGAAATCCTCAAATGCTACAAATAAAGGCTTCATTTATTTTGTTGCTTGTTACTAGACCTAAGATGGTGGTGGAGGAAAAAGAAATATTAACAATACAGTTTATACATAAGGGTGTTTTTCAGTTTGGAAGAGACTTGGTTGTTAAACATTTAACAATATGCCTCTGACTACATCTCTAGTAATTTAGTATCAGACCTACTATAGGTCTTATAAAACTACCTGATTTATGTCTGGAAGGAACTTCAGACTTCATGGGACCTTGGAATCATAGCCTTAGAACTGGAATGCATCTTGAAAGTTATCTAGTTTAACCCCCTTATTGAACATATGATGACACTGAAATTGAGAGAGTTGTATACCATATTTATGGTCACAGATAAAGTAAGTGTGTCACCTAGAATTTGAACCCAGGTCCTCTGACTTCATTAGCATAAACAGCTCAGACCTATCCCTTTTTACAACATCAATCCCAAATGATGTCATATTCATGGAAGGCATAAAAGTATATAAGGCTTAGATCCTTTCTCCCTACTTAGTTAAAGATAGTTGGAAAGCAGAAAAAAAAGCGTTCTATGGCATTTTCCTCTTCTTTCTACCTATGTAAGCTCTTCTTTTTCTTCTCAGCCTCTGAACATGCCACACCTTTTTGACACTGTCTCCTTTTTCTCTAGTTTCAGAGGAGTCCTTATCACATCTACAAGTTAAAATATGGTGAGCACAAAAACTGATGTCCTCCAAAACATGGAAGAAGTAGAGATAGTTATATCCTCTATAGCACTGAATTTGGAGACCTGAGTTCAGATCCTGCTTCTGATACATATTATCTTTGTGACCTTCTAAAGTCACATAATTTCCCTGCTCAGAGTTTCCTCATTTGTAAAATGAGGACATTAGATGGGTTTACCTCTGATGCCCCTCCCTGTTCGGAATTCATGATGCTGTGATAACTTCCTGGAGGGAACATCACTATTTTTTTCAGGAATCTATAAAACACTCTAATAGTTCTCCTCCCTCATTAGATCTCTTTGGAACCTGAGTGAGATTATTTATGTTATCTAAGACTGTCAGAAATCTCTGCTAGTTACAGATTTAGGCAGAAGTGGGGTAAGGCATACCTTCAGGCATAAGAGGTTAAAGCTTCCTGTTGGTTCTTTTGGTGTGTATAGGGAGGGCAGGAGGTTCATGCTGTGGTTTAGCCTAGCTCACAAAGCTAATGGAATGATTAGGGAATACTATCATGTAAATTGAGTTAAAAGTGCTGCTTTTGTTAGAAGAAGCAGATAGTATTACGGTAGAAAAAGCATTGACTGGAGCCAGAGGGTCTGTGTTTGAAAATGCCTTTGTTGTCTTTTTACTTGTGTGAATGTATGCACTTAATTTAACCTCTCTGGATCTAAATTTCCTTTTCTGTAAAATGAACAGCTAGGTGGCAAAGGAACTGGATAGAGTGATGGGCCTGTAGTCAGGAAAACTCATCTTCCTGAGTTCAAACCTGCTCTCAGACACTTACTAGCTATGTGACCCTGGGCAAGTCAGTTTCCTCATCTGTAAAATGAACTGAAGAAGAAAATGGGAAACTACTCCAGTATCTCTACCAAGAAGACTCCAAATGAGTTCACAAAAATTTAAATATAACTGAAATATGACTGAACAACCACAAGTACAAAAAAAAAAAAAAAGGAGAAGAGGAGACAGCTAGATACCTCAATGTGCCTGAGCACAAGGCCTGGAGTCAAGAAGACGTAAGTTCAAATGAAGCCTCAGTCACTTACTTATCAGTTGTGTGACCCTGGACAAATCACTTAACTTCGGTTTGCCTTAATCCACTGGAGAAGGAAATGGCAAATCATTCTAGTATCTTTGCCAAGAAAACCCCATGGACGGTACAGTCCACAGGGTCACAAAGAGTCAGATACTACTGAATGACTGAACAACAACAAAATGAGAAGGCTGGGCTAAATAGCCTTAGAGATTCCTTCTAGCTCCCAACCTAAGGTCTAGACATTGAATGGAAGAATTGGAGAAGAATTGGAGAAACAAAAACTGTCAGAGTGGTCATTTATGCTGACTATAGCCCAGTGGCAGAATCAGGAATTTCTGGTTATATGAAATGCTGGTAGGAAGTCATTACCTTCAAAGGGTAGACTCCCTGGGAATTCAACAAAAACAGACCCAATTTGTTACAGGGTGCATTACCTCCAAGTAGATCTTAGAATATGTTTGGGGAAGAGTTCTACTAATCTATTTGTATAAGAATATCACCTTTTAAGAAAACTACTTTATCTCCTGGGGAAGAACAAACAGATATTAGAAAAAAAAAAATCAAACCTTAATATTTGCCACATGTTCTATAAAGGTGATTTAACCTTACTACTACATTCTAATTAAGACCATTAAATTAAATTTAATGATGATAATAAAATAAAAGAAATTCAATTATAATTTTTTCTTACCAGACTCTCATTTTATCAATATATGATGCTCTTGGTAAGCAACTCCCTCTATTAATGCAGATTGGCATGCACTATTTAATTAATGGTCTGACAGAGTTACCTGGGACTAGTGAGAGGTGAAGTCACTTGTTGGGATTACACAGCCAGTTATGTCTGACAGTTTGCAAACCCATTTGGGATTTTCTTGGCAAAGATACTGGAGTGGTTTGTCATTTCCTTCCCCAACTCATTTTACAGATGAGGAACTGAGGCAAACAGAATTAAGTGACTTGCCCAGGGTCAATAGCTAGTAAGTGTTTGAGGCCAGATTTGAACTCAGGAAGATGAATCTTCCTGACTCCAGGCCCTGCACTTGCCAGGTAGCTGCCCTTGAAGCCAAATAGGTCTTCCTGATTCCAAAGTAAGTGTTCTATCTACTCTTTATCAGTTCTTAGGAATAATATAGATAACTCTTCCTTTTGCACATAGAAGCAAAAGAAAAGAATTTCACATGGCCAACCAAACTTAATTCCTGTTTCTGTTTATGTGTAAAATTTTAATAGAACCACATAAGTTTTTTAAAAAGAAAAACTTTATTCTGTGCTGTAAGTACAAAGAGGCTTTATACTCATTATTCAGGAGGGGGGAAAAGTCAGATCTGTTTTAAAACCACATGCTGTTAGATGGAATAGTGTTTGCAATTTGTTCTTCAGATGTAGATAGCATGGTTAGAAAAATTGTGATGAAACAGATTAGTTAAGTATAAAAGATTAGAATACACTAATAATAAGACTTGCTGGGCTCATTCTGTTTCAGAGAAACGGAATCTGGGAGTATGTTACAAATGATATGTGATCCTCTGAAGCATACTCTTTTTTTTTT